AATCTGTCTTGTTGTATCCCGCATTTACATCTCAGCTCATGATCTCACATGCCCCTCTTACCCTCCTTTTGTTTTATCTATCTCTATGCTTTCTGTTTGTCTCTTTTCTTTCCTCTCCCATCCTGGAAATGTCAGCCTGAATTGCTCTCAGCGCCGCATCAGAATCCACCAATCGTGAGGCAGCTGTGACGTGGGATGCTCTCCCAGGAAAAAGCTGTCGTGGCAACCTGTGCTTTGTACCGCAACAATTCCTGAGTTAGCCACATGCAGAGCAAAAAAACACACATATGCTCCATCGTTGTCGTTTCTCTTGTTGTTCTCTACATGTTCTTTAGCCACTGCTGTAGATATGTTGGTCTGTTCACTGACTTGGTCCAGACTGAAATATCTCAACATCTTTTTGATGGATTGCTGTGAAATTTGGTCCAGATATTGCCTCTGCTTTGGTCGTCATGCCACCACAAAAATGTAAGGCCCCAAAGCTGGGTTACACAAACTGGGATTCATTTTTAAACATAATTAAATCTGATTTTAATCTGAAATCATGTTTAAAATTAACTTAAAATGAGGAAACATGATATTTTAACCTCTCTTTAAACATCACTTTAGTTTTTACCAACACATTGTCATTTGCCAAACATGACATGTTAAACTGGGCGGCACGGTGGTGTGGAGTCCTTCTGTGCGGAGTGCTTGTTTTCCCCGTGTCAGCATGGGTTCTCTCCGGGCACCCCGGCTTCCTCCCACAGTCCAAAGACATGCAGATTTGGGATTAGGTTAATTGATAACTCTAAATTGTCTGTAGGTGTGAATGTGAGCATGAATGGTTGTGGTTGTCTGTCTCTGTCAGCCCTGCGATAGTCTGGCGACCTGTCCAGGGTGTACCCTGCCTCTCGCCCAATGTCAGCTGGGATAGGCTCCAGCCCCCCCAAGACCCTCAAGAGGATGAAGCGGTTAGAAGATGAATGGATGGACATGTTAAACTGCAATGCTTTAGATACCCCTCCCACATCAGTTTGGGATGCTCAGGGATGGTGTGCCAATTTACACTTGTTACATGTATTGTGACTTTTCAAAATAAACTTCCATTTTCACAGGAAATATTCAGTTTCAGCTTGTTAAATGTATACACTGTCATTTCAAAATAAACTTAGTTTAAAACTTCATTCCTAAGTTTAATTCATTAGGTTTAGGCAACAAATGTACATGGTTAGGTGTAGAAAAAAACATCATGGTTCGTCTTAAAATAAGCGCAGTTGTTACAAGCATAATGTAACGTCATGTGACATATATCAAATAGGCTATGTCACATGACCTTAGGCACAAGCATAGTATGCTACACATACTAGCACACTGTTGAACAACTCGTTAGACTTTTGGTTTCACACAGAACATGAACAGCAGTCTCCCGGCTGAAAGTCCGGAGTTTGTTTGACCCATCCAAAATTTGAACTCCAGTTTAAAATGTGATCCAATATTAGCTTTAAACTTACACTTGAGGAGATTTAACTTTTAAAATGGCAGCCTTTTTTAAATGACTTTAGCAAAATAATCAAATTCCTCAAAGAAAGTGAAGAGACACACTCACCCCAAGTACTTATTATTTGGCAAATTAGCTCGCTTATATCGGTCAGCAGGGTTTTTTTTTTTTTCAAGCAGGAGACTAGAGCTTCTCTGGTGAGCCATCACAAGTGACACTGGGCTAACTAACTGACTTGTGTAACGTTTTGTTGAGAAATATAGGGCAGCCCACATTTAATAGCATAGCATCTGCCTTAAATTAATCCTTATTGGTGCAACCCAGTTTTGTATTGAGACAGCTTTTCTCTCTCTTCTTTTATTGCTGTGTAGATTTTTAAGGACACAAACACAGACATATAAATCGTGTGTGACCTTACTGTGTAAATACAGATGACAGCTACAGTATAAACGTTGAGAAGTTAGACCTCGCTGACAAAAATGGGATTTTCACATGGCGGGGAGATTTTTTTTTTTAAAAATGGAAATGGTTGAGAAATTGGCTTTCTTGTGAAGCCCTTGTTCAGTTGTCGTTTGACACTCTGCTGTTCTGTTTTTGTTTAGGCGAGTTTGAACCAGAGTGCTGATGTTGCAGGAAAAAATGCAAAACTTGCATCTTTGTGTTTTTGTTTCTCTTCATTGAATTGAAAGTTTATACCGTTATTTAAGCATTGAGTCAGTTAAGTGACCATTTGACCTCTCAAAGGCTTGTTGAAAACACGTCTGACAGGTTGTTTCATCACTACAGAAGCTACTTTTGTGCTGATGTTTTGAGACAGAAGTGATGTCTAGATCCTCACAGATGGGAGGTGAAGTGTCTCCGCAGAAATGCCAGTTCTTGTCTCATCTTGTCCCGAGAAAGAAAACTCTTGTCTCCTCTGATGTCCATTAATTTATTCCGTCCTGAGAGAACAGGCCTGTCACAGTGTTTGAAGAGCTGGTAATGAGCGACATGTTGGGGCCGGCGTGTTGGAGGCGTGCCAAAACAATTATAAGTTTGTCATGTTATCACTTCTTCCACACTTGGCTCTTCCTTCTTTTTTATAGTATAACTTCAACACCCAACTAACATGCAGAAAACTGGCATCGTCTTTGTTTGTCCGAGTAGAAAAAAGGCAAAAAATGTTGAAATCCTGCTCTGCTTTTGTTATCACTCCTCCAACATGTTTTCTCCCACTTAGCTTGGTGACAATATTTGATGACTGGTCTCCTTTGTGATTTCCTCAGTGATTGATAGCCTATATCTCAGTCTCGCGCCCTCTCTGTAATTGCCTTTTTTGTCCTAACTGTTATAAAATGCCTCCCCTTTTCTATATTTACCAATTATTTGCTTAGAAGTGCTGGCCTAACTTCAGCACACAACAAAAGAATTGTCGGTCAGGTGAAGTTGTATTGGGAATATGTTTTCTTTATGAAGTTTTTACCTCCTCAATGAAAGCTAGATTTGGTTTTGGCTTGTCTATTTGATTGTTGGCAGGATATTTCAAAAGCATAAGAAGTGAAGTCAATGAAGTTTAGTGGAAAGTCAGACCACAGTTGAGGAACATGTGGTTATTTTAGGGAATTTCTTGGTGGTGCAAGATTTATGAATATTTTCTAGTGATTCATAGCACTTCTTGAATAAGAAAGAATCCATCACAAAGTAATCTGGATTGTCATGTTTTGTTCTCCCCTGCAACACATGGTCCTTCAATACAAGTTTAAATTGAGCACGAATTACTGCTGGTTTGACCCTTTTAATGTCTCGTCTCTGAATACAGCCTCAACAATAACTCCATCACTGCTGTATTTACACTCCTCTGTCTCCTTTCTCAGTATTGAACCTTGTGAAATCCATATTGATTGACCTCATCACATCTCATTCTCCCTCCTCTCAATGTTGATACTAAGTGATTACTCTATTGATCAAATCTCCTTTCACTCCTCTCAGCCTGCGAAGAGCTTCCAGGCTCTGTAATGTGCCCATTAGTGGCCATATTGAAAACTTTCATCTCTTAGAACTTCGGTTGAGTTAACAGTTTCTTGCATTTCTTAAAGTTACATCTCATTAATGTAATATCCAAGTTAGTGGCCTGAGTTCAGTCAGTGTCACAGACTGTAGAGATTAGCTATGATTATTACACTGTTATATAGTGTGGATAAAGGGTAAAAGTTACTGATTTAAGTTAAGATGTTACCAAGGGACAGAACAACCCGTATTATATGATATAATCTTATGATGTTCTTGTGACTTACATGGTCATGGAAATGGAAATATCTCAAAAACTATACAGTGGATTGCTAGGAAATTTTGTACATATATTCATGCTGCCTAGGCAATGATTCATACTGACTTTGGTGATCCCCTGACTTTTCCTCCATAGTGCAACCACAAGGTTGACATTTGTGTTTTGAAAGTAAACTGCTCTGACAATAGGCCTTTTTCACACCAGACATTTTGCCCTGTTATAGAAGGAAAAGTACAGGTGTGGATGGATTACCATGAAATTTGGTTTAGACATATTGATGGCCAAATTTTTTGTACCCAAACTCAGAGATGTGCAGAAGAAACAAAAATAAGTAGAAAAAGTAAGTTAAAATAAAATAATAAGGTTAATGGTTGCACAGAGTGCTTCTTAAGGGCGCTATGCATTAAATCTAAAAGCAAGGTCCATGAGAAATGACAAGCAAGAAATGGGTCCTAGAACGCTTTTTAAATGAGTCGATTCTCAAGAACCTGGGCTTTCCATCTGTATGACTGAAACCATGTCAGCTGTCTGTTCTGGAAGGAAGAGGCAGAGGCTGATTTTCACTCCCTCAAAATGTGACTGCTGTCTCATAACTGACTGCAAAGCACGCTGTATTTCATTTAGGGAGAAGTTCCTACTCAGGCAGAGCAAGGTCATATGAATTTGGATTAGCTTTATCCATTTTGTAGTCTCAAGGTCTCTGTTCCCTCAGATGTTAGTATTTTCAGGCCAGTTTGCAATTAGTCACTGGTGCAAATTTGCATGTCAAGGTTGACCAGCTAAATTGGGAGTCTACTTGACATTGAAATGATTTTAATTTGGTCTGAAATGTTGCTGTTGTAAATACAGAGATCCTCTTTGCACCTGTCAAGTGTCAGCCAAGAATTCACGACCTGTTTGGATTTTGTTTGAGTGAAAAGAACATCTGACTGGAATATCTTTGACTTGCCAGACTTTGTTCATCAATCAGTTGATTACTTTGGCTCTTTTCCCACAAGCTGTGAGGGGCTGACCTTAATTTCAGATGTCTGGATGATGATTCTCAGTGGGATCAGCAGTACTAACAACTTTTAATATACTTCACAGTCTTTTCATTTAGTGTCAATAAAAGATATTCTCCTTAATGAAGCTTTAATATACCGTAGAGTTGTCAGTTATTGCCTCATCACAATCAAAAAGTCTTTTTGCATAGCTTGACCTCTTCATTTTCCTCATTTATGAACACTCCTCTCTTTGTCTGTCTCTTCCTCTCAGGTTTGCCGTCATTGCCTCGGGCTGTGCCAGCTGTCCCAGGTTGGTGTGTCGCAGAGAGGGATGCGGCGCCGAGTTCTGTTACCACTGCAAACAGGCCTGGCACCCCAACCAGACCTGCGACTCTGCCCGCCAACAGAGGGCACAATCCCTGCACACCCACAGCAACCACTCACCCAGCTACACACAGGAGCAGGGACCCGGTAAGTACTTGGAAAAGCACACACACCTCTCATCCTCCCTGGAGAGTGACTGAAAAGTAACCGCAGTTAGACACACACTCACATATTGTGCAGATGTGTGTGTATGTGCTTCTGTCTGACATGAACAGGCAGATAAAATCTTCTCCTCCAGCATTTCCAACCTGAAAATATCCTTCACACCTCTGAGAACTCTCTGCCTCTCTGTCTCTGTCAGTCTTTATCACATGTCAGTCTGTCAGACTATGAGTCAAACTCGTCTCACGTCTGTTCTACCGACTCCTCGCTGCTTCAATCGAGCATGAGACACTATTTATATCACAGTGTCTCCTCTTGATTGTTTCCTGACTGCAGCGCCCTGCTTTCTGTCATACAGCATTTAAAGTGTCACCTTAACATTTATGTTTCTGAACTCAGTAAACTCAGTGAAACTGGACCTTATTTTAATATGATTTTGCATTTAAGTGACGAATGGGAATAATTATTGTAAGTGTCTGACCACATTAAAAAAAAGATCCCTACAGAGATAGGCCTTTTTAGGCCCAAAAACCGCCTTTGCCAAACCCACCAGACCTCATTTAAATAAGCAGTAATTATAGCATGGACAGATTCAGCATATGTTTACATCTAACTGGGTGAATTGAAGGTTTATTTTAACCAAACCAGAGCTGGTGATTGTTGGAACAGTGGATAGATGAACCAATATGTTTCTTGTGGGTTTTATTTTGTTTCTGACAACTTTGAATGAAGTTTGCTTTACCATGTTAAAATTACGGTTTATTTAAATAGGGTCTGGTGGGTCTAGCGATCGAGAGTTCTGTGCTGTTTCTGGTTAAACAAGAAGGATTTTGCTCTTTTAAAGGTCTGTCTCTGTAAGCTCTAAACAGCTCCGATTGGGGGTTATAAAAATATGATACCCAGGTTGCCGCGCAAATTTTTGACCCTTCTCCGGCGCAGTGCCATAACATGCTGCCACAAAGTCAGTCTGTCTCTGTCTAAGCAGTGCTAGAACATCTTTCCAAATTTTTTAGCACCAAGTTTGAAAGAGAGAGTGAATAAGTAAGAAACAGATGCCAGATACTGTTGCTCTTGAGGTGCTGGTTTTTGTTACCTTTAGATAGAGCCTGGCTAGCTGTTTCCCTGTGTTTCCACTCTTTATGCTAAGACAAGCTAACTGTCTTCTCGCTGTGGCTTCATTACATTTAAAGCACAGATATAATAGTGGTGTCAGTCTTCCTATCTATCTCTCAGCACGAGCAGAACAGCATATTTCCTAAAATGCTGAGGTAGTCCTTCACTTGGTGTGGTGGTGATGATAGATACAAACATTCATGCTTGTGCGTGCAAACATCCTTACATGTTTCTGTGTGTCTTTAATCCCATTTTGATTAAAAATCTATTAACTAAATCCGTCCATCTGTCCTAAGTCAATCTATCTATCTCTGTCTTTACTTAACGCACCACTTTCAGTCTGCCTCTCTCTGCCAAGTATTCAGAAGACCTGACAACAATCCAGAGGATCAAAACTGACTCATAAAAAAATCCAAGCCGCTCCCTCCCTGCCCATCTGTCTGTCTGGTCATACCTGCTGATTAGTCAACGGGATATAGACAAAAAGAGAGAGAGAAGTAAAATGGGGGGAAGAGAGAGATAAGAGAGTTTCTCAGTAGACTACAGAGTAAAAAACAATAACAACCACTCTCTCTCACACAGACACACACACACATACATTTGGCCCATTTGATCTGGATCTGCCAGAGTCTCTCTAAGTTAAAATGCCAAAATGCCCTTTAAAGAGCAGAGAGCGTTCCCAGCATCAAACACACAGCAAATGGACTTTTTTTTTTTTTGGCTTCCTGGCTTTCTTTCCTTTGAAATGCATTAGAAGACAAACTGCTGCAATTGTCCGATCCATTACTCTAATGAGGTTTGATTTTGTTGCCAACAGAAGCTGGAAAACACTATCGAGATGGGACCATTGTAGAGTTTTTGCTTTTCTTACTTTTAAAGGTATACCATGCAGGATTGTTGATCACGCTCACCAGAGAAAGTGAATGAGAAAGCCAACTCCAGATTCACTCGTCTGCCGTTTCACCTCGCTATATTTGCGTCTTGGATGCCTTGACAATAAGCCGATGGGATTTTTTCTGTTGGATTTTGGATTATTACAGAAAATGATCTCTGTGGGAAACAGAAGTTTATGATGCTCACACGCTTTGTTCAGTAAGATAATCTTCACAAATAAACACCACTTTTATGATTTCTGAAGCGTAAGTGCAGTCACCAGAAGTCAAAAGCTGATGTTAGGCTTTAAACAAACTACACTATAATTGCATGACTTAAACATTGCCACCACAATGAAGCTGTAGAGGCGGACCAGTGAGTAGATGAGTTTGCATGTTCAGGGTGATGATGTTTAACTCCCTGACAACCTCTGTAGTCTCTTTTAGCCACTTGTTAGCAACTGCCTTTTTTAAGACATGTTAAAGCTTTAAGATTCATGAGTGAGTTTTTTTACTGAGGTATTTTATCTCATAGAACAAACCATGGAAATCTCTTAAGCTTGTGTTAACCACAGACCGTATTTCATGCTTCCAACTAAAAATCCACTCAAAAAACCCATTAACTTCAATAGTCCCTGAGTGCTAAAATGCTAACTCATCTCTGGGTTTTGGGACTCTATTACTTGACTCATTCTGGCTCATTGCTTATGTTTTGTCCTTTTATAGTTAACAGCTGAGTTTCGAAACAACGGTGAGTTGGGAGGACACATGTGGGGGGTGTTGGGTACTTTAGTGAAGTCAAGGGCTGTCGACATTTTGGGAAATACACTTATTCATGTTATTACTGAGAGTCTGGTGAGAAGATTGATACCACTCTCATATCTCTCAGATAAATATGTAGCGACAGCCAGCAGCTGGTTAGCTTAGCTTAGCATAAAAACTGATAACAGGGGAAAAACTTGCATTGCTCTGTCTAATGGAAACAAAATCCACTTTCCAACAGCTCCAAAGCTCACTAACTAACACGTTAGTTCTTGATAAATCTTTCTTGATAAATCTTAAATCTCTCTGTGTAAAAATGCCAAAATCCGGTTGCTCAGCTTCATATTTTCCACACAAACACAAGAGTGGTATTGATCTGCTGTGACTCTCAGCAAGAAAGCAAATAACCACATGCAACAAAGGAAATTAAAGGAAAGAAATGTCCTGATGTTAGCGACGTCACAAGGAGCTAAACTTCCCTCTGTTCTCAGCTGATGACATCAAGCCCTGCCCTCGCTGTGGTGCCTACATCATCAAGATGAATGATGGAAGCTGCAATCACATGACCTGCGCCGTCTGCGGCTGTGAGTTCTGCTGGCTCTGCATGAAGGAGATCTCCGACCTGCACTACCTCAGGTACTGAGATCTCTTCCTTAATATCTTACATCAGCTCCATGTTCGACCTTTTTATATTTCACAGATGTGGAAATGTAAACTGTTTTCCCTTTTCTCCCCCGTTCCTCTCTTCTTCCCTTCCTCTGTGTTTCCCTCCATCAGTCCATCTGGCTGTACATTTTGGGGAAAAAAGCCTTGGAGCAGGAAGAAGAAGATTTTGTGGCAGCTGGGCACCCTGATCGGAGCTCCAGTCGGCATCACCCTTATCGCAGGCATCGCTGTTCCCGCCATGGTCATTGGCATCCCTGTTTACGTTGGTCGCAAGGTGAGAGACCTTCAGAGAGGTAGAGCTACAAGTGATTATTCGATGCGTTAAATTTATCGCCAACTAATTTGATATTGGATTAAAGGGATACTTTGCCGATTTTCAACTGGCCTTGTGTCATAACAATGTGTGTAGTATGTGTGAATGAACTGTGGTACAATTCCCTTTATCTTACTAGCATCCAGATCTCCCTGCTCATCTCTCAGCTCAAATCTGCTGGATGACACAACTTTCGCTGGCTGCACTTTCGTATGCCTGTCACTACAAACACAAAGAGTATAGAAGCGGATCAAGAGAGATTCACTCCTCTCCTTCTCTGTCAGGCTCAGACTAAACTCTCATCAAACTGTAAAACTAAGTAGCCCTGGTCAAATATCAATCAGAAATATAAAACATCTATTCAATTAATAGAGAAAATAATCAACAGATTGACTGACAGTGATAATTGTTAGTTGCAGCCCTACAAAGAGGAACAAGCTTCAGTTACTGGAACAGTATAATACATTTTAAGTAAAGAGTGCTTTGACGTGTACATGATCGTGTCAAGATTTCATCATTTCCCAGAAGAGAAAAAGAGAATTGGCTGCACATTTTCACCAAGTTGAAGGCCTACTGCTGATTTGTTGTTTATATGATTAATTAATTAAGTTAGTTAGTTAAGTTAGTTTTTCATCATGATTTCCCTCACCTTTTTATTCTGCTTTGGTGTATTTTCTCTTTTACTCAGCTGTAAAGCAAGTTTTTATTGAGTGTTTGATTCAAATTAATTCAAAAAATGCATGTTTACCTGTTTCACGTACATGAATCAAAGCAAAACGGCCCAAAACACAGATTTTAAGCTTAATATATAGCACACATGCTACTCCATTTGTATCTCACTTAATTTAGTTTTGATGATTTTACATTTGTGGATTTTTCATATTGTTTTATTTTTGTTAATGATGACAAAAGTATTGTTTTGACCACAAAAGACAAATTACAATCTAACCTCCTGAATATAACTTGAAAACGATGTGGGGAAAAATAGAAATTAGAGACGTGGAAGGGACTTTTCAAGATGATTATGAATCATTATTAATGCTTTCATAATCTTAATCTGGTGATTTCTTATCTTCCTTATCTGTTTCTTTTTATTGTTTCCTCTGTGTGTAACTAACTAAGCTGCCCTTCACACTGAGCAACACTGTTTTAATCCCTATGGTCAGTTCACTTGACGTTTATCGTCAGCTACAGAAACCAGAAGTGAAAAAAAAAACCTCAGAGTTGTAGCAACACACACAAATAGTTTACAGCTCTGCTACAGTCACTCTTTCACAATCCCCCTCTGGTAATTACCTGGAATTTACAATGTTGCTGAACAAAAACCTTTTTCTGTTTGAGTTTCAGTATGCTGTCCTCGTTTTTGACACAATGTTAAACGTTTTCCAGAAATAACAGTAACAACTTTCAGTTCCTTTGAGAACCACAAAAAGGTTTCCATTCGCATCAACAATCACACTGACCGAAAGACAGACTTCAAAAATAGAACCCACAGCTGACTGATGGTTTATAGAACAGACTTTTGATAAAGTTGGGATTCTTAAAACATCTGAAATTATCTATTTTTAAGTCCTTAAACTTAAGAAAGTGTTTTAGAGAAGTTACCTTAACTTTATTTTAAGTTGTATATTGAAGTTCCTCTGGTAGGAGACTTAGAAGAAGTATTGTATTTAAAACCTTTTTGAGGTACCTGTAATTTACCTCAGTATTTTTGATTTATGCTATATTATACTTCCTCTACATTTCATAGGCATTATTATTATTATTATTATTATTATTATTATTGTTATTATTATTGTTATATGATATTGTTATTGTAAATGTAGTTACTACTACTTTACTGATTTAGATTATCCATACAAAATATTATCAACAAATTTAGTATGATGTGTTACTAAAGGTTACAAAGCAGCATATAAAGTAATTACAACTGACCCCTGTTTGACAGGTTGCATTTAAGTGATGCACACATTAATTTGTCAATAATTATAATTTGATAATATAACATACATCATTCTGAAATGGGCTGTCCTGCATAACAAGTGGGCTTTTACTTTATACTTTAATACCTTTACTTAAGTAAAATTTTAAATGCACAACTTTAACTTGTAACAGGGTATTTCTACGACATAGTACTGCAACTTTAACTTAAGTATAAGTATCTGAATACTTCCTCCACCTCCACATCTTTTAGATATATTTTCTGCGAAGCTGGAATTTAAAGCAACTGAAATAAAGTGAACAGCAGGAACTGATCCACAAGAAATGAATGGTGCCATTAACAGTGAATTTCTTGTTTTCCTCTGTCTTATCAGTGGAAATCTCTTGGCTTTCTGTGCACTGTCTTTGTTTCATTATCCTGGCAGTTATATTGATGTAAAATCTATTGAATATATCAATGTGTCAATCCTAAAGGGTCTTCATAAGTCATCACCTGGCTTTATAAAACATGCAGATGTGCCAAAATTCCTCTTTTGTCTCCATAGATGTGATATCCTGATCCTGCTTTGTCATGTTTTGCAGTTGGTTATGCTGTTGCATTATTAGATACACAAAAGGTGAATGTTCTTTCAAATAACAAGAGGAAGGTAACTGACTGACAATGGGCATTTGGCTGCACATGACAATACTGCAGCGCTCTCCTGTGGACAAAAGTGGAACTGCTCATTTCTATTTAAGCCTTCTGAAGATCTGGCACAGTGCGAACAGTTGGAAGTGGTTAACTAGTTTGATTAACTGCAGCCTCAGACACATGAGCTCACCTACACCCTGTGTCTGTTCAAACCTGCCCAAGGAGCTTTGGTCGTCTTAATCAGGGAATTACTGACAGAATCTTTTCAGGAAGTGTTTCAGTGAGAGGAGTAAAGCAGACTTGTTTCTCTATGGCAAGTTATGACCCAGATTTTGTTTCTGAAGAAAAAGCTTTGAAGTCTGTTTAAAAGAAGTAGGTCTGTGTGTAAATGATTCATAATGAATCCCTGCAGGAAAGCTTTCTGTAGTATCACTATCACTTTTATTTGCCTGTGTGAGAAAACTTGTGGTTTCTGTTTGTTTTAGTGAGTATTTGTAGATTGTATGGAAGAACAAATACACCATTATTTTTTATCTGTATCTGTTCAACCAACTAATTAATCGCCCAAATGAAGATTTTTTGTCATCATCAGTACAGATATTGACACATTTTACTCGGATGATACTCATCTTCATAAAAAGTACACAATCCGTGATGGATGCTGGTTTCATCCGAGTATTAGGCTCAACCATTGTAGCTTGTACAGGTGAGAAACCGTCACCACTGACCAATTTTTCCATAGAGTCTGAGGTAGAGTTGGGTACGGAAACCCTGTATGACCACTACCTACCGGACCGAATCACAGCGCGGATTTTGGTGCCTCATTTTGGTGCTAGATAGTGTGTGTAGAGAGACAGACAGAAAGAGAGAGAGTGCATATGTGTGACAGCAGTGAGGCCACAGCGACTGGAGCGAAGACTATGAAGCTAAATGTAGCACTGTGTGAACAGCTTAGGCTGTTTGTCAGTGAATAAATACTACAAATCCTCAAGACCGAAGCCAAGTCCCTGTGTCTTGTTCGTCCCCTGCCTGTGTTCAGCCTTATTTCTGACCTGCTGTGAAGTGTCTGACCAGCTTGTTGACCTCAGTCTCTGTCCCTCCCCTCATGCTGCAGATCCATGCCCACTACGAGCTGAAGAAGACGTCTCGTCACAGGAGGAACCTGGCCATCACAGGAGGCGTGGCCCTGTCAATCATCACCGCCCCTGTCATCGCAGCTGTCAGCGTCGGTAAGAAACTCAACAAGTCGTCTTTTATGCACTGTGAATGTAAATACACCATGTTTTTGACTTGAATATTGTTTCTCTAACAAAGGGATATGTGCAAAGAATATGGAAATGAGAATTATTGTTTAACTCTATGGCAGCTGTTTTGCGTGTGTTGCTTTTCATCTTTCCCCCTTCTCCTTCTTGCTTGATTTGTTACTTAATTTCTTGAGCTCATTGGGATCATACAGAATAATCATCATGACCAAGGCCATGCGTAGCCAGAGCAGAAATACAGAAGTTAACTGAAGCTAAAAAGCAATCGATTACAGTTAAGAGTTCACATACAAACTGGCCAAAGCTTTGTGAAACTTATGAGTAATTCTGTTTCTGTCTGTTCTCAGGTATCGGTGTGCCCATCATGTTGGCCTACGTGTATGGTGTGGTGCCCATTTCTCTGTGTCGTGGAGGAGGCTGCGGTGTCAGCAGAGGGAAGGGACGTGGGGTACGCATTGACTTTGATGAGGACGATGGTCCAATCACAGGTGAGGACACCAAACTGATTTCCCTCAGGACAAGCAGGATGCTATTTAACAGATCTTGTACTAAAAAGAATATTGTCTATGTGATCCTGCAGTGGCCGATGCATGGCGAGCCCTCAAGTCCCCAAGCCTCGGCGAGAGCAGTCTGGACGGGGCGGTCAGCGGTCTGAGCACCACCTCCCCCAGTGAGGGGCTCTCCGTGGCCCCTGGGACTCTGGGTGACACACCCCACTTTAACACCCTGGCAGGTGGAGCTCTGGGAACACGCAACGGCAAATACAGCAGGTGAGGAAAAGAGAAGAAGTCAGCCAAGCCAAGTTTAAGCTCAAGAGAATGTTATTCATTAGAAAATTGATTTTTGAACTTGATTATTTTCAGAAATGGGTAATATGGATGACCTAACTATCAACATAACATATTCATCTATACAAATTGTCATTTTTATGTTAACCTAAAGGCACTCTTCAGTCATCCAGTGTGTGATTTAAAAAAAAATCTTAATTATAGAGTTTTCAAACACTGCAATATATTCCAGTCTGAGGGTGCAGAATTTTTATTGGGGATTTGCTGTTAAAATAATAATAAAGTATGAAGGACGTGAAAACAAATTAATTTACAGGGTTAAAACAGAAATAATTTGATCAGTGCCGATAATGAACATGTCATGGTCTTTGTGCAGTGTAAATGTTAGTTAATGGTTTATTTTATCAATTATTAATAGAACAGTTTTATTGATTAATTTGAATGTTTGTTGTCCTGCAGGCTGGAGGTGCAGGCAGGGGAGCTGGCTAAAGAATCCGCCCAGAGGGAGACAGGCAGCCTGGGCGCAGGGAGCGACTGCGCCAGCACTCGAGGAATGGCCGGATCCATCATCTCGTCCTACACACTACCTGACAGGTGCCACTTCTGTCTTTGTCTGTGGTGTCTTTGATCTCTCTCTACTCCCTATTCTTTTTTCTTCACACACACTACAAGAGAGTTTTGTTAGTTGTCAGGCTGGGCTCTGTCATTCTGTCAGATTAGATTTGGATGTGATGAGGTTGAGATAGGTAAAACTAATCTGATGATTTGACAGGTTGATGCCATGATCTCACGTTGTTGTCTCATTTCTAGCGACACCTTAAGCTGTATAAATCCCTCTGTACATTAGTGTGAGCTTTACTTAGCAGATACTTAACAGGAAAAAAGAGCTACGTGTGTGGAAGTGGCTGCCATAATATTTGCTGCTCCTCTTGACAATATTCCTGTGTTTTTCAGTTACAAGAGCAGTTGGGCCATTTGTAATGATAGCATATGGTTGTCATGCCATAGATGAGGCTGTTTTGTGAACAATCGTGCACTTAACAATTTGATGTCGGCCATCAAAATGAAAAACACACATCTCCTCCCCAGAACAGCAAACTTTATGAAGTGTTTTCGGCTATGTTTCCTTCATCACAGTGGGGTCTGCAATTGTATTGGGGTTCCTTATATTGCAACCAACCTTTTAGAATATTCTTTCACAAATATAGTATTTCATCTTAACACATCTTGGCTCTATAATCACTATAAGCAAACCAACCAGACTCCATTTAAATAAACAGTAATTTTATCATTGTAAAAAAACACTTCATTCAAAGTCAACAGAAACAAAATACAACTCAAAAAGCCATCTTGGTTCTTCTTTCCACTGTTTCAACAAACCCCAACTCTGGTTTGGTTGATATAAACCCTTAATTCACCCACTTAGATGTGAAAATATGCTGAATCTATACAGACTAAAATGATTGTGTATTTAAATAGAGTCTGGTGGCTGTGGAGATGACTATTTCATGGCTGTTTGTGGTTAATCAAAAACGATCCTAAACTTAAACGAAGAGATCTATCTCTGTAGGGATCAACAGCAGACTGTTTGGCCACTCACTCAATACTGGACCAATGTCAGAAATTGTTGTTCCCATTAGTCAGTTGTCAGATGTTTGAACATCAGAAGCGTCACACTGACACTGACTTGTTGTGTCTCTGCAGGGAGTGCACCAACCTGGAGATCCAGGTGGACATTGAGACCAAACCCAGCCATCTCTGCCTGACCAGTGAAGAGGACCTAACCCCACCCCCGGGCTCCGCTGCCATGGCGACTGTCTCAGGTGTGGAGGAGCCTCAGGACTGCAGCTCCAGGAGGGGCGGGGCTCTGTCTGGATCAGTGTTGGGACTGTCACCGGGCGTGTCAATCAGGGAGGGGCTCCGAGACGTCACCCTAGCTCAACCGGAGAGCATCCGCAGTGACCTGGAGATGTCGGACACTCAGTCAGACGACATCGCAGAGCTGACGTCAGATGACTGTGACTCCCCTCACCCAAAAAGCTGTCACCTGGCGGCCGGCCAGCAGCCCCCCTCCTGCCGAGCCCTGAACCCCTCTGAAGGCCTTCACTGTCCCACTGACAGCAATGTCATCCTCTACGTTTGAGGGAAGAGCGGCTGCCAGGATTGCACAAAAAAACTACCCAATCCCGCCAACAGTTACACCTGAGCTCTCCTTTACTTCATAGCTTTTTTTGGTCATTTCTCGTTTGCTGCTTTTGCGACTCACAGACACCGTCTTAAACACAGACAGCGTTTGTTTACTTCTGTCTGTCTGATCTATCTACCTGTCAATCTCCTCACTGAGTAAATTGTCAGGGTTCTACCTCTGAGATTTATAAGATGATGATTTATGTTTACTCCTTGGTGCAAATGCCTTGGCTACTTAAGCAAAAAAAAAGAAAAAAAGAAAAAAAAAGGTACACATTTTCCACAAGAAATATTGCAATTATGAAATTATGAATTATAAGGTGAAATGCCACCGAGCACAGCAGAGGGAGACAGATTGTTTGGAAAACAGATGTTTGCCGAGGACAGAGGGGTGTTTCTAACTGTGTGAATGACTTCACCTGTTGTGGCTTTATTTTCTTCTTTTCCTCTATTTATATTAAGACGACCTTGAAATTGTGTTATGTGCCGCACGCATGAGTCTGCATGAGCCATGCCTTGTGTGAACGATTTAAAAGGGCGGGGAGTTTCTGTTACACTGGTGTAAGTGAAAGTTTACGTTAGAGGATGAAGCTGCACTTGAATCTTAATTTCCCTGCACAGAGGAGGAAGAAGAGGAGGAGGAGGACATGTGGACAAAAAAAAAAGAGTTTTGGATTACAGGAATAAATGATTGAGTTCTGACAATGACGCGGCGAGGCCAGGAGACACTGCGGTGAAATGCACTGAGAAAAGCCATTTTATCTATTCTGTTAAAGTCTATGACAGTGTAAGACAGCCCAGCATATTAAACATTGTCATTGTGTTTTGCACTGAGACATACATCAAACAGACATTTACCATTTCATAAATCACCCACTGAGAAACCTATATAATGTTAATGTCAAAAATGCAAAGGTCCTGCTTGTTTTCTCCAATCTCAAGGAATTTAGGTAGTGAAATAAGTCATTTCGCAGCGGTTGTGATGCTCAAACAAATTTTATCGTCAACTATTGAAACGGGAGAAGTTTCAGTTCTGCAACCTCTCCACTAGATGTCACTAAATCCTACACACTGGACCTTTAAAACAGCAACTCAGTTTTCAGATGCCTGTGAGTTGTTCACAGTAGTGGTGGATGTACATTTACTCATGTGCTGTGCTCAAGTACAAATCTGAGCTACTTGTATTTTCTTGTCCACTTCCTACTTCTACTCCACTACATCTCTGAAGGATATACTGTACTTTCTACTCCACTACATTTATTTGACAGCTTTAGTTACTTCACAAATTAGGAATTTTGCACACAAAACACAGAGCCTCTAAAATATCATGTATCATGCCTCTAAAATAGCAGTTTATACAAGTACAGCTGAACCCATTAGTCAATTAATTAACTTGTAAATTGATTAAAAAAAAAAAAGTAATTGGCAACTATTTAAGTAGTTTTTTATGCAAAGATGACAAAAGGATCGTTCCATCATCAAAAATGTGAAGATTTGTTGCTATTTTAATATTAAAATAACTTTAAGTCTGTTTCAGTTCTCACTTAGAGAAGCTGGAAGCAGAGATTATTGTGCATCTTTTAGCTTGAAACAAAATAAAATGCTGATAACTATTTTATTAATCAACTTAATTATGAAACGAATAATTATTTAAGCTGTGATCTGTGATCGTTTTTTAAAAACTGGTCACAGAAGCTCTGAATAAATATTTGTACTTCCACCCTCAGAATGGCTGCTCACATCTCGACCGTTCGCTGTCAGAACTCTCTCACTGTCTGGTTCTGGTGTGTGTGTGTGTGTGTGTGTGTGTGATCAGTGTTTGACAATTGGCTGCCTTATAGACACACACTGACTAACACAACGCACACACACTGACAGGCCTGGTTTTGGTTTAGTGTTAACTGGCTGTCTGAACCACTTGAACGCTGTGTGTGTGTGTGTGTGTGTGTGTCTCTCAGAATGGACTCCTGATGAATGTATTTGTCCCACTTTGTTTTTGAATGAGCACTTGTGCACTTTATCTGAATTTATCTTATTTATCTTTTATTTTGCTATCATCTTTGACTATGAGTGACTTCAGTTCAACAGTCTGTGGTACAACCAAAATAAATCACCTACCAGAAGGCCTTTTATGTTGGATGTAACTAAAGAAGAGTTTGGCTCCAAAGCTTCACATAACCACTAATTTAAAGCTTTTTAAGTTTGTTATTCAGTGTTTTTACACGTAAAGGGAATCCAAGGTGTTTTTATCAGTGATCCAAGCACTGTAATGTTATTTTTTGAATATATTTTACTCTGTTAGTTTATCATCATTACCAGTTTCACTTTTGGAGCCAAACACTTCAAACATTGATGCCGATAAGCTTTTCTAAATCATACTCACTAGCCTGAATCCTTTCTTAGCTTTGTATCACCTCTGTGCTTCAGTTTCAAAAAGGTTTTTCTACCAGGTTTTCCTTTAAATCTGCAAGGAATCCATGTGGGAACCTTTTTCATCTCAGAGTAGCTTTATGGATTTAGCTGCTTATATAACTTGGCAGTGCTTTGTTTGGTCTGCACTTACCACTTGTTTCTGCCTGCCTGCCTGTGAGAAAACACACGAATGTACCACGAGACGGAAACCTGAACTTCCTGAAAGAGTCTGAGTGAGTGTTAATGGAGAAACGTCCCATTGAGAACACAGGTGGTCCTTATTTGAAAAGGTTTTAGAGTATATAGATAGCAATATTTAAGTGTTATTATATTGTTTGTGTATTTCCTGTCACTGTTGAAGCCCTGCCATGTGTGGGGTTGTACATGCAGGACTGTGAAAGACAACTTGTGGACCTTTGGGGAAAAATAAATAAACACAACCTGATGTTGCACCAAAGCATTGAGTTGTTGTCAGTTGTGCTGTGTAGGAGTAAAACAAAGGAAAGCTTTTAAATTCTCTGTCAGACATGATTTTTATAACTGCATTGTAACAGAAATCATTTATGAAATACTGCAGTCTTAAAACAACCAGAGAAGTCATGAGAATCTGAAAATGTGCAAAGTATTGATGGAAAAAAAAAATCTAAATTCCAGTGATTTAATTAAAAAAATGGTAATGGTAAATTATTTGTTTTAAATTCATTATTTTTTGATTATTTCTAATTTCAAGTTAATAAGTTTAATTATTTATATATTTATATTTTAACAATTTATTGTGAATAATTACATTAGTTAAATTATTTTTTTTCTCTTTTTGTATATTTCAAAGTATTTTTTTTACATTGAGTTTCAAATTGAACTAAATTTTAAATTCAAATATGCAGTATGTCAAGGAAAAAATATTATCACCCATTTGTCTTGTGCTGAAATTAAACGAAAAAGTGTGTACATTTGTCCACAAATGACTCACGTATGTTAAAATAAGATCCATGCTAAATTTCTGATCAAATGTACAGAATTCTAAAAGATCAAAATGTGTAAATGTTGACAAATTCACATAAAAGTTTAAAATGAACTCTTAAAGAGGTTGTAAAGAAAAAATAGAAATATTTGAGAATAACTAAAACAGAAATTCCTCTAAAACTACTTATGGTAGAGATTTGTATGGGAAATCATTACATACAGAAGATATTTTATTTGAAATATTTCATGTTATACTTTAGAAGGGTTTGAATGTTTGCCTTAGGTATGGAAGGCAATTAAGAGGCAAATTTAGGAGCCAAATAGTCATCAAAATTGCACGTAATCGACATGCAAACCCTATGTACAGCTGAGGTTAAGATTCTCATTCAAGTTAATATGCAAAGTGTGTGGTAGGATAGGACAGTAGGATGACAATGAAATGTTTATGCAAAATAAAAATGCCAGTTCATAGGAGGAATGAGGGGCATAGACTCAGTGACAGAACATAATCATCTGTTTTAGATGTACAGGTTACACATATTATTTATAGTTATAGTTATAACATGCATGAACACTCAAAGGGAGTATGTAATCATCTAGGATCAACTCAGTGTGTGCTTTTAGAATGGAATGTACATAATGGTGGGAAAAAAATAATAATAATATTACTGAATAAAGCAATTACGACAGTGTTGCTTTATAAAACTGCCCTAGGATGGCATAATGGAAAACATATTACAATCAGAATCATCTATATGGGCCAATTACATAAACAAGAAATTTGACCCTGGTTTTAAGGAAAAATAGAAATAGATATTCAGCTAAAAACATATTCTACTTTTTATTCCACTTCATTTTTGACAGCTTTAGTTACTGGTTACTCTACTATTTCAGATTATTAATTCAAAATAGTATTAACTATTAAAATCAGATATATACTATAGATTAAACTCTACAGCAGTATATAAAGTAGCCTACTTACAATTAGTCTTCCCTTTACAAGCCGCATTAGAAGTATAGATTCATTAATCTATCAGTAATTACAATGCAATAATATACATTAATCTGAAATAGGTCACTCTGTATAATGACTGAGTAAATTAACTTTTGGCTGTGTATTTGGTGGCATATTTTGCTGTGATGTTGATGCAGTATTGTTAATTGTAACAGAGTACTTCTACACTGTGGTACTACCACTTAGAACTGAAGTAAAAGATCCGAGTACTTCCTCCACCTTTGCTCAGTTGCAGGAGCCTTGTATATCTCCTCACAGTCCAGTCTTCAGCACGGTCGCGTCTCTTCACGACACAGTTGATCATTTTACGGCAGAGTTTTGGTCAGCCGTAAAGCGAGACGTGGGGAGCGGAGGAAGGTTAAAGAGAATCCTACAGCACACGGTACATATGAATATTTTTGCTCTTTGTCAGTATTTCAACAAGGCTTGACTTTATTGAACACAGTGTAGAGTTGATATGTTGTTTTAAAAAAGCCCCAGTTTGTAAAAAGTGTATAAGTCGAGCGGCCCGTAGTTAGCATGAACAAGCTGTCATTGAAGGAGACTTAGGAAACGTTAGCATTCATGCTAACAAAGCTCTGACTTGGGGACATATTCATAGAATGGTTTTAGTTAATGTCTACATATATTGACTTAGGTAAGAGAGATATAAAGCTTTCACATTACAGTATGTTTACAGAGAAGGTTCGCAAGCTAGCTTTTGTTGTTGGCTAAGTGCTAACTAGCTATCTTCGGTTAGCCAGCTTCCTAATCTTGAGGGGCATCACTAATCATGGATAAGTTAAAACAGTTTATTGTTGGGTTTTTTATTAAAGCAGTGTGATTAAATAATGCATTCCGTTCTTTTGGTCTAATTTTTTTTTTTTGACTATTTGGAGAAGTAAAAAACTGTTTTCTAAACTAATCTGTTTTCATGTTTGATGTTCTCCTCCATGTTATATTGCTGTAACGTCACTATACTGTTATGATATTACTACTTTTAACCTTATACTCATATCCTATACTTTATCATAATTTACCATATTATACTGTTAGCATGTTACAGATTCTTGCGTCTTATTTATATTATATTTATGTGACATCTCCATATAAATGCAGATAAACACCAAGTGTCATTAGTTTATCATCATCAGTGTGATGTGCACTGTTAACAAGGACCTGCTGACTCTGCTGCTATTAATCACTACTTTCACTTTGTGATTTTTTTTTGTCCCCATACATCCATGAATAGTATTTCTACTCGTATTTTAGTTTTTGTATATACCTCTCAAATTATTTCTCTGTTGTTTTTTCTCTATCTCTACTACTTTGTTCTTGTGCTCCTGCAACAACCAAATTTTGATGAAGGTTTACCATATCTATGTCATAATTTCGTATATGTACTCTTTGTATAATTCCAATAGTATTTTCATTCCTGTGTCACTTCCATTTAAGTCTGTAATGCCATACTGAGGCAGTTAGACAGCACTCTTTGTTATGGTATTTGGCATGCCATTACAATTATGAAAACAAGTAGTGTTTTTAGTCTTTTTGTCTCGTGTGATGCTGCATAACTTATTGTTTGTGTGTATACTTCTGATTCACAAAACATTATTGAGTGTACTGTGTGCTGAACAATGTTGCAACAGTGTTTTCTGGCTAAAAGCCTTAACTGTTACTATGGTACATTTATTTGTAAGGGACAGTTATAGAGAAACATTGACAGTTGCTGAAGCATGCTGATGTATTGTACATATGTATGTTGCCAAAGCTCATAACCAGTTAGAAAGGCTGCTGCTGTCAGACCTTCATCAGTCTGATCACCCATTCTGTCTCTCTTACAATTAAATAGCAGTTTTAAAGCATGTGTCTTAGAGTGACTACAGCCTTTGGTAGTAACTCATAACATGGTTTATTTGGAACCAACAAGGATTTAGTCGGACCAAAAAAAAAAATCAGACAATGCACTTTGAGGATAGTGAAACAAAACAAAGGTTGATGCCAAATTTCCCTTGAAACCTCTTCAAACTGCAGCAAATTCTGTCCTTTTCATAAAAGACTGGTGATTTACTCTGAGGTCTAAATAATATGGTTTTGTATAATCTATATGAATAACCCCTGTTCATCTTTCTTTCCTCTCCATTTCCTCCTTCATTAGCAATCATGCCATTTGTGGACCTTCAGTCACGGCTTGGCATCAACCTGGATGGCTGGATGCTGCTGCAGAGTGGAAATCAGCCCAACAAGAGAGCAGCCCGCTGCCATGCCTTTGAGAAGGAGTGGATTGAGTGCGCCCATGGCATCGGGCAGACCCGTGCCAAGAAAGAGTGCCAGCTGGAGTTTGAGGACTTCTATGAGTGCATGCACAGGGAGAAGACGGTAAGTGTCTGCATAATGACTTCTGTGTGCAGTCAGCGGCTTTTGAAAAAATGGCTTATTTTGGAATACTGCCAGGTGATAGCTCAAGAAACTGCAGAAGCCATGCTCACTTTTGTTATGTTAGATGTTGTGTACTTTTTGCATGAGGGAACTGAGCTCACTCACTATAATTTGCCACCAGAGTGCAAACAAGAATCAGTATGCCAGCAGGCAATGAAAGTTCATGCTGTGAGCACAACTGGGACAACTGTTCTTAGCAGCTCTGTCTTTCTGATAATGTGACTTCATGTTAAATGGATCTGTCAATCACTTATTGCCCTACGAAGATATTAACATAATATCAGAATAAAAACGAAAAAAAAGCTATTGATATTCTATTTTTTCCACAATATTATTGTTTCATTGAGCTAAATTACATATACTGTGTGTGTGTGTGTGTGTGTGTGTGTGTGTGTGTGTGTGTGTCATCGAAGCGATTAAAAAAGTGCTGATGATCACAGTAGGTGCTTTTTTTTGTCAAAGTAAAAAACTATGTGACTCTTTCTATTAATCATTGTCAAAAAATCTTTTTCATCCACTGTGCTTAAGGTTATAAAACATGAAAGTTTAAGGCCTTGAATCGTCTTTATGGGTTCTCTTTAATAACTTGTGGGACATCAGTCAAGAGTTTGTCTTCATTGGTAGTAAGGCTTTTCCATTGGCACCCTTGCTTGTGCCAATTTGTGTTTCCATTGTTAATTGTAACATGCAGAGCCGCGCTCAACATGGACCATTTCCGAAGATGGGCCAAAAGCGAGCTTTACCAACTCCAGGCGGGTTGCAGTAATGTCTTGCCTACCGCAGCCAACCCCTGACAACCCCCTTCTCCCCCTGAGACAAGTGTGTGTTGCAAGACTCAACTCATGTCTACCTGTGCAGAAGAGCAGGGAGAAAGGCGTTTTTTTTTAAAGTCTCTGTGTGGTCAGCTCTCAGTACTTTTGCAGCTTCTAACTGAGTCTCTGCAGTAAGTAGTTTAGTTTTTCTCCTGCGTCCCTGTCTCTGTTACTCAAGACAAGTGCCTAACACACCTTCAAGCAGGAAGCTCTGTTGTAAATGAGATGCAAATCCCTGCTGCATTGGGCTGACATGCTGAGTCAAACCAAGTCAAACCAAGCCACCACATGAGTGTGGAAAAAACAATATGGGTCTGCAGATAATCATGTTGCTTACACCACCCAAACCTGTTTGCTAAATGTTATTCCATCAGCTTTAAAAAAAACAAATTTTCCAGCACATTAAAGGGAAATTTCAGTTTATTTCAACCCGTCTCCTATCGTCCTAAATTTGGTTCAAGTGACTAGTGACATAAAAATAATAGTTAGCATGTTAGCCATTAGCCTAGATACAGCCGGGGTGCATAGTAGCGTCATACCTGTTAAAACGTAAGTGAACGGGCATCCTTTCAAGTGCAAAGTTAGTCCACTAAACAAGCTGTTTTTCCACAAAGACCGCCTCATATCGTTAGGATAAATGTCAGAGAACATATAGAAAACGACATGTAAACGTGTTGACTTACCTTACCGGTGTGGTGCCATGTTTGTTTACCATTTAGCTCTGCTTTCCAAAGCGCGGCCGAAATATATCTTGCCAGCTCTAGATAAAGCCCAGCTGGATACTACTCCAGGTGGAGGTGTCTCGTCCTCGGTCACATCCAGACCTTGAAAATAAGGCTGCAACTGGTCCCATTCCTTGCAACAGAGGTATTCCTCTTCTGTGGGCACTGGGGCACAGCATTCACAGGTACACCACCAATCTCCAAAGCTAAGCAGCCTTGAAGCAGCCATTCCTCCTCTCTCGTCCTCTACCTGTTGCGCCTCTCTCTCTCTCCTCCTCTGTTCTTCAGTTTCATGAAGCTCTTTGTCAGTGTATTCTGGCTCAAATAAATAAGGGCGGCCATCAAACTCTGCAAAATCAAATTCCTCCTCCACAAAGTCAAAGTCTGGCAAAAAGTCAGCCATTATTCTATAAATCTTTCATAAAATAAATGAATGAACTTTTCAGGCTACTGTTCGGTTCTGCCTTCCAGCTTTTGCTGCTTGTTCAGGCACGCTATGAGATCGCTGCTTGTTCTCGAGATATTTCGGCCGCGCTTTGGAAAGCAGAGCTAAATGGTAAACATGAGCTAAACGGCTAACATGCTAAGCTAACTATTATTTTTATGTCACTAGTCACCTGAAACAAATTTAGGATGATAGGAGACAGGTTGAAATAAACTGAAATTTCCCTTTAAATTAAATTGCTTCAAAGTTTCTCATAAACTCACTAAGAAAGTATTAGATGTAATTTCCTCCAAATGGTCTTTAGCCCTTGTTTGACCTTCATATCTATATCTAATATTAATATTGATATCTTTATATTTATAACATTCCGGTATAGAGTTTGGTGTGATGGATCGTAGGGTGGAGGAGAAGGGAGCATGTTTTAAGCATCAATAGAAAAACACTTTACAGAAGTAAAAATGACTAGGAATTCATGACAGAAGTGTGTTCAGAGAGAAATACAGCACCCACATCCAGTCCTTTTAAATATTGTCAGAGTTAAACTGAGGTCAGTTTTGATGGTTGCGTGTGTGTCAGCAGAGGAGAGACAGATGCACAGTCTGCTCACTGTGAATGTGCTGCAGTGGCAGGAATTTCCTTGCCTTGATCCAGACGCCTTGATTTGTCCGTAAGCTACATCTCATTCTTTCAGGACGTGATGGAGATAAACTGCTGATTTAAGATGAACGACTGACATGAATCTCACATCAGTTTAAGATGTATTAAGCTTAAAATGTTCGTTATTAAAGACAAGACTGGATTTTCATTGTGAGCAACCAATTATTATTTGGATGGAAGTCTGCATGTCTCCAGGTCAGAGCAGAGGTAGGGAGCTGTTCTTCTAGTTCTTCTGTCTCCCACAAGAACACGTGGTGAACGGAGTAAAAGACCATGGATAAGAAAAGAGTGGAGGGATGCAGGACATTAGCATTAATTACTTTATTTTCCTTTTCTCTCCTCTCTCTTCATCTTTTATTCTGCCTCAACAACTAAACTCTTCCTCTCTTACTCCCCGCAGCGCCAGAGGCTCCATGCGATCCGTCAGCAGCGTGACAAGATGGTGAAGGAGGGAACTTACACACCACCACCCTGCCACTCAGGCAAAACCGACCAGTCACCATGAGGGAACATGCAACTGTCCGCAGTTCTGTTCTGTAAATCAGATATAGCTATTTCCTGTTCGCTTGTACAAGTTTGCAAATAAATGTTATTATTGCACATCTCCTTGTTTTGTTCTTCCCTTTCATTTTTTCTCTCTTTTTAGAAATGTGTGGAAAAGCAAAAACAATAATGCTGCAACCTGTGACCCTGTCACTGTAGATTAATCTACCAACAGTTGATAGTTGTAGTACCTAGATTAGCCAAATCTCCATTAGCTACAAGAGTAAAATGCTGCTTCCTAGAGGTGTGGACTCATCTCAGACTTGAGTCACAAATTTAGTTGACTTTAGACCCGACAAAATAAAAAAGGGCTTGCAACTTGGACTGTAACACCAATGACTCGTGACTTTACTTGTACTTGAGCCTTTTACCTTGAAAATACTTAAAACCTTCTCCCAAGCACAAACGTTTAAAGGTATGTAATTTTCTTCCATTTCCTTAGTCAATTATTCATTCCCAGCAAGTCAATGCTTGATTTCCCCAGATCCACTTTATTTGAACCATTCTGACAGCATCCAGTCAAGTTGCAGGAGGGAAACATGAAGAACGAATGTCACTATTGAGTGCCAGATTGAAAAAGAATTACCCCAAAGATGATTTTGTTTGTGTAAAAAAAGAAAAAAATTACTTAACAAAAAACTGAATAGTAGTCCTCAAAAACTAATTGCAGTACACAAAATGTGTTGGTTGAAAATTACAGACAAACACAACAAATTCCAACAAACTTGTTTTAACAAATAAGAAAAAATGTAAAAAGTATTCATGATTTTTGTATATTTAGTATATTATTTCTCTGCTGTTAAAATGGCATTACATTAGATGAAGAGTGCATTATAAATTGTTTACAACTTGAAACTTAAAGTTTAGGATTTGGAACTTGTCAATCTTGACTTAACACTTGAGTGCAAACACTTGGAAGTTATTGGTAACTTGCAAAACAATGACTTGGTCCCACCTGTGCTGCTTACATATTAATGCACCAAGTACTTTTACTTTTGAGACCCTGAGAGTTTTTGAGTAAATTTTGTTAATACCAACATTTTTTTACTTGCTGGTATGAAACATTTTCAATGTAGTGCTTTTACTTGTAATGGAGTATTTTTACAGTGCAGTATTGCTACTTTTTTTCCTCTTAAAGATTATTTTTTTGGCATAGATACACAGGAAAGGTGGGAGAGAGGAGGGGGATGACATGCAGCGAAAAGCCACGGGTCGTAATCAAAACCAGGCTACTTAAAGGACGCAGCCTATATATGGGTCACACACTTAACGTAATCTGAATTTTTTTCTCCATCGCTACAAAAGATATAGAATTAATATAAAAATACTGTGAATAAACATTAGCAAATGGGACATGATGGTGTGAAAATGTAGCCATAAAGCTGTGTTTTATTATCATTTTAATAAGTTTAACATTATAAAAATGCTGAATCTAATACACAGTTATTTTAATATTGGTTTTATCCAAAGTCCTGTATGTGTGTAGTTTCATCGCCAATTGTGGACTGCAGGCTGTTAATTATTGGCCTAATTAGTCAAACAACAGATTAAAAACGCCTCTAATGCTCTATGATAACATTATAATTTTTTTTTTTTTTTAAAGGCTGCAAATAATAAAAAACAGGTCATCCTGTGATGTTGACAAGCAGCAGACAGACAGTTTGTACTAAACAGCCAAACCACAGCTGGTTAAATGACTTGCAGTTATTCCTTCAGCTGTGGTAAACATGTAATGTGTTCAGCTGTGCCTCTGCTGTGAAAGGAAGTTTAATTACAGTCCATTTCTTTAACCCACTGACCTAATTTTAGTAAATCCTTAAATGGATTTAGAGAGCAAACGCTCCAGAGGGATGGCTGGACCACTCCGATGATAACTGATATGAATGCATGCAGGTTGACATCCTTGATTCAGTTATTGTGACTGATTAGGAGGCTCTGTGAAGCGCCACAAGATGGAGCTAAGAGCACAGATAACGATGGAGGGAAAACTCATCAAGTCTCCCTGAAGAACTGAAAAAGGTTTCGTCATTCTGTGACGTTACGAACGAACACTTCAGCTCTTTTCTTGGGGTGGACATTTAAGCCAGAAGCAGTATGCAGTTTTATGGCTGTGCTGTAGTTTAATGGCTCTTTTTTCAATAAATAAATAAAATTACACCTGTAAATTAGTGAAAACCCACCATGATTCAAGCCCGGGGTAATGATGAGACATTATAGCCCAGCTTGAACCCGGTGGGTCAGGTTGGGAACAATTGGGCTTGGGCAGAGAATCAGAGCTCCTGTGTAAAGATATGGTGGAGTAATGGTATCCTCAGCAGAGAATTAAGTCATACTCCTTCTACATATGTTGTAATCTGAGCTTCTCTGTGGTTTGTTGCCTCTCTGGCTGTGCCTGCATGGGAAATGTAGCGCCTACTCTGTGGTTCCCCCCCAGTAAACACCATCAGCTCTGTCAGCATTGTTGCTGTTGTTTAGTGCTGTTTATGAAGTTAGCACAGTTAGCTAATAGCTGCTTGTTGAGGCACCTCCATGTCGAGAGCCATGTACAGACAACTCATAAGCTCAGAATTTTGCATATAGCCCATTTACAGTTAATACTAACTGAACCGTAAAATACATTAAATGTGAAATGTGTGATGTTTTTTAAATACCTAGAAAATTGTTTCATTGGTGACTGGTTCTAAATTGTCTTGGTTTGGTGAGATCTACTGGGAGAAATGAGCTGTAGACCTCCATTTCTAAAATCCTAAATCCTAAAAGATTATTATAGGGTTCTTTTAAAGGTCTTAGAGGCTGAGAACTGTTCAGTGTTACCAAAGAGGAAAATAAACATTGGTTGAGCACTGAGCATTTGTACAATAGAAGGAAGTGTTTGGAATTTGATTTGACATGTTGGTATAAGTGCAGTAAGAGAAAATTAAAATTTCCTACTTTGTCAGGTACAAGTTAAAGAGCAAGTACTAAACCTGTATTTTCATTTCAGATCACACAGGTGGAAACATTAGCTAAGTGCCCAGACTGTTGACATCAGGCCAAACCTGAAGTGTTAGAGTGTCAGGAAACTGGTGCTGAAGTAGCCGTGGGCAGTTTGGAGGTCTCCTCACAATCTAAACTGTATACTCAGTTTAATGTCACATCCTCAAATCTGATTAAACTTCACTGAGGTTTTGACTTTATGCCCGTGTGTGAATGAATACGTTTTTCCATGAATGACTCACACAGTTAAGCTTAGTCTGAAGGCAATTGGCCTCATTGTCCTCCTGAAATCCAAATTGGTCTTACTAAACTGAAAATTACAGATAGCCATGGCAGCGTTGACAGATCCATGACTCACATTATCACAAGTTTCAATTATGTAAAGTGAATTTGGTTTGAGTTCACAGCCAAAGCCATCACTGACCATTAGATTCATGACAGGAGCTCCAGTTCTATACAGCCCCACTTTATACTGAAGGATCATCAATAATTAACTGGTAATGAAAAAACAAGCAGTTACAGTGGTGAACTTTACTCCATGTTTATTGTCACAGTACATGTGGCCGGTCAGTACATTAGCTGCTGTTTGATTAAAGCTGCAGCAGATAATCCAGCAGTGCTTCACCCTCTCTGATCAGATGCGTCTGGATTATCCTGCTCTACCAACACAGCAATCCCAGTGATACCCAGTTGACCCAGTGCTTTATCAATCTGAGCGCATCACAGTCAGGCAAAACAAGGACACCTCAACTAATACAAGACCATTTTTCATTAACTACTTGTTGACTAAAACAGAGCAGCATTTTTTGGAGTCATGTCTCTGGACACCTGATGAATGTAAGTCCAGTATTCACTCCCTTTTAGCTCCAGTTTTGGTCTGCACCACCTCCTGATAGGAATATTGGGGTCTTTAGCTGCTAAATTCTCCCCTGTGTTCACACAGCTCAGTTGTTGGAATAAAAGTTGACATCGTACGTTTCTGCATACCACAGATAAATTACATTTGTACGATTAATACATACATTCCTAAAGTAATGTAGTGTATGAGCTGGCTTCTCATCGGGAGGTGGAGGGAATGTTGGATGGTGGGTTACCTAGATGAGACAGCTGCCAAGTGGCACACCACTATTCTAGACCAACAAGCAACAAAACTGGTTGTTTTGTATCAACTAGTTGCTGTGTGTCCACCACGTATAGTATCATAAAAACTGTTTTTTTTTTTGTTTTGTTTGTTTCTTTGGGTTTTTTTTTTTTACCAAGACCTCCTTGCTTTTCCTGTCAGGATAGTACCTCGAAATGTGCTGTTTCCTGCCTGGATAGTGCCACCAAAACTGGTATTTTAAAACAAAACATGCTCTTTTCCAAACCACAACCGAGAGTTTTTTTGTGTCAAAAGGTAATTACATGTTAGCCACAGCGTTGTAGAAACCAAAGTTTCAACGTATCCACTAACTAATAATATTCAAATGTAACCATCTGTGGTTTGCAAAAACATGAAAAGCCAGCATATCGTCTGGTGATTGGGTTTACCACCTGGTTGCTGTGTCTGCTGGAACACATTGGTCTTATAATAAAATCATTCTGTGTACAAGTGTAGCTGGAGTTTTGACCTCTTCAGATGTCTTCCTCTTCTCCATGCACCTTGGAAATAGGTGAAATTGTGCCAGAAACCTCCAACCTGCTTCCACAGTATGCTGCTTGGTGCTGGGCAGTTGTGGGTTTTTGGATGCTATGAGAGCGCTAAGACTAAACCAAAATAGTAAAGTTTATTTTTATTTGTTTATTTATTAATTTATTTTACGTATAGGCATTGTTACATTTAAGTAAAATGCAACCAATGCGGGGTGTCGGTGGCTTAGTAGTTAGAACACGCGTCCCATATACAAGGCTGTTGCCGCAGCGGCCCGGGTTCGACTCTGGCCAGTGGCCCTTTGCTGCATGTCGCTCCCTCTCTCTCTCTCTCTCTCTCTCTCCCCCTTTCACGCTTGTCTGTCCTGTCAATCAAAGGCTAAAATGCCCAAAAAATAAATTAAAAAAGGCAACCAACACAATATATGTAGGACTTAGAGCTGTGGCTAATTTGCA